GAGCTGGGTCCGAGAGCTGACTGAGCTGGGTCCGACGAGTGGGACTTGAGCTGACTGAGCTGGATGAGCTGGGTCCAAGAGCTGACTGAGCTGGATGAGCTGAAAAAATTTGACGAGCTCAGCTCCAGCCATTTTCCATTCCAAGTGGATGATGAGAACATGATTTTCCTCCATTTGGGATGGAAGGATTTTGCAGCCAAACCTCCAGATCTTAAAGGTGCAGCAGGGTTTGACTACTGGTTCTTCTTTGTCAAAATCTTCTTGGTCCTGGTAAAATTCTTCTTCATCGCTAGATATCAGCCTTCGTGAGAGTCCATCGGGTAAAGTGAATATTTTTCCTGGTTTATGTACTATGTCAAAAGAAAATAATTGAATGAAAGCCACCCAACGTGTCATAGGTGCATTGGGAAGAGATGGGGAGTTGATCATTTGTATCAAAGACTTTGCATCCACTTGTAGTTCAAAATGTTGACCCCAGAGGTAAGTCTGCAATTTCTTCAATACTCTTGGTCTGAGAATATCTTGATTCCACAGGCAAAAATACTATTGATTTGTAAAGTACTGGTTGATCCAATCCGGTGTTGAGTTCATTTTGCATTAATACTGCTCCTGCTGCAATGAAACTTGAGTCCACTGCTAGCTTGATCAGTCCTGCGTCCTTTGAATAGTCAATGCTCTTGAGAACAATATCTTTTCCAACAATTTCCTTCAGCCGCTCAAATGCTTGATCACAACTCGTACTCCATATCCATTCTTTCTCCTTTCTGGTAAGTTGCCTCAATGGGGACGCAAGTTCAGACAGGTTTTGTATAAATATTTGTACGTAAGTGATTAAGCCTAAGAATCCTTGCAGTTCCGTAAGGTTAGATGGTGTTGGCCAAGTCAAAATTTTATTTCTCTTTTGATTAGAGACTTGTCTTCCAGTGTTGGAAACCACATGTCCTACTATGTCCAAAGCCGGAACACAGCAGGAGAATTTCTTGCCCAATACTGTGAGGCCTGCTTCTTCTACTCTGAACAGTATGCGTTGTGGTAAGCCAATCCTGAAAATCCAAGCACAGCAAGAGTACAAATCACAGAGGAATCACAGGATCAAGGTCCCTCAGGAAGTCCCCAGACCCTCAAAACCAATCCAAACACCACTCATGGATCCCCTCAAGCACAGACCACATGGATAATAATATTTCCCAACCAGAAACTCCACAGCCCTGAAACTCATTCCCCTCCAAACATATTCCATTCTTCCTACCCCTTGGGTTTTACACTAGTAGCAATCCCCCTGATCCATGAAACAGTTATTTCCTCCTATCTCCTTCCATGGAATATTCCCCCCCTTATTGGTTTCATACTAGTAACCTTGGGAGCAATTTCCCACTGCTTGTTTCCCCTGTTTTCTCTGGATAAATATTTTCCCTTGTTTCATACTCTTTATAGAATGTTCCACATATCTTCCACCCACAAGCTGGCCACTCCCCAGGATTTTGTATATAATGAGCCTTGTTTTCCCCTTCATTTGTTCCTCATCAGATCCTGCCCCAGCAATTCAGATAACTGATCACCCATTATTAGCCAGGTATTTGCCCATCAACATTTGGGATACCTTGATTTGTGAACAAGTATATTTAGACTAGTAAACATAAGAAATATTAGACATACCATCCTCAAGAAATCTCCACAGCCACACCTTTTTCCTTAAGAGTCCATACTCTTATATTTTCTTGTTATCAGAGAGGCAGCCCATTAAAGCACTCATCCCTCTCAAGCTCTATTCCTCCCAAGAGTAGTTCCACAGCGTTCCAAAGTTATTGCATATTCCCATATAAATCGTCGGATTCCTGGATTCTCTGTTAATGCTTGTCCTCCGTAAGTTGATCGTGGTCCTTTGATTCCTCCGTCGTCAATAAATACCCCGGCAAATTCTGGGATCTCATCTTGCAGAATCCACATCATTTGAGCCTGGTAAACTGCTACCAAATTTGTCACACCTTGAGGAAGCCTGGTGAGTTGAAATTGTCCTAGTGGGGTGTCAAAGGTTGTGAGTGGTCGTGATTCCTCAGCTAATTCCCGTTGATCATAACCTCCCATGATGTCACCAAGACCATAGCAAGCCCTCCCTGCAAAGGATTCAATAAATTTCCTCGGTTGCGGGAGGGAGCCCTGCATCTTTGATTGTTACTTTGTTCATTTCTTGTAAGTCATGTACAATTCTTAGTTTTCCATCATGTTT